GAACACAGAGAGACCTGACAGTGAACACAGAGAGACCTGACGGTGAACACAGAGAGACCTGACAGTGAACACAGAGAGAGACCTGACAGTGAACACAGAGAGACCTGACAGTGAACACAGAGAGACCTGACAGTGAACACAGAGAGACCTGACAGTGAACACAGAGAGACCTGACGGTGAACACAGAGAGAGACCTGACGGTGAACACAGAGAGAGACCTGACGGTGAACACAGAGAGAGACCTGACAGTGAACACAGAGAGACCTGACAGTGAACACAGAGAGACCTGACAGTGAACACAGAGAGACCTGACGGTGAACACAGAGAGACCTGACGGTGAACACAGAGAGAGACCTGACAGTGAACACAGAGAGAGACCTGACAGTGAACACAGAGAGACCTGACAGTGAACACAGAGAGAGACCTGACGGTGAACACAGAGAGAGACCTGACGGTGAACACAGAGAGACCTGACAGTGAACACAGAGAGAGACCTGACGGTGAACACAGAGAGACCTGAGTTAGCAGTGTGTGTGTATTTGTTAGAGATGTTGCAACTCCACAGAGCTTTAGCAATACTGTATGTAACTACGGTCATGCTAATAAAGCTATTGAATTGAATTGATAACAGCAGGTGATAGCGTACCTGAGAAATGGAGCCCAGAGTATTCCACGCGTCCCATTTCACCTTGCCGACAAAATCCAGCATGCCGGGTTTGGGAGTGTTGCAGGGACCCTGAGAAGCCTGTAGGGGGCGGTATGGAGCCAAATGGAGAAATGTAATACACTGAGAGAATAACAGAGAATCCTTTAACATGAGAAGCAAGCGTGCATGCTTCTGACATCACTGTGGAACACTCGCGCTCCTATTGGCTAGCACTCCAACACATTGTATGTGATAGACTAAGGGGCGGGACATCTCTAAAGCTGGTTGACCAATCAGAGCAGACTGGGCTCTGGTTTCAGACAGAGGGTGAAATGAGGTGCTGAGCTTTTTGAACATTAGAGCACGGAGACATGTCCCAGGAGAGGAGAGGAGACATGTCCCAGGAGAGGAGAGGAGACATGTCCCAGGAGAGGAGAGGAGACATGTCCCAGGAGAGGAGACATGTCCCAGGAGAGGAGACATGTCCCAGGAGAGGAGAGGAGACATGTCCCAGGAGAGGAGACATGTCCCAGGAGAGGAGACATGTCCCAGGAGAGGAGAGGAGACATGTCCCAGGAGAGGAGACATGTCCCAGGAGAGGAGACATGTCCCAGGAGAGGAGAGGAGACATGTCCCAGGAGAGGAGAGGAGACATGTCCCAGGAGAGGAGAGGAGACATGTCCCAGGAGAGGAGACATGTCCCAGGAGAGGAGAGGAGACATGTCCCAGGAGAGGAGAGGAGACATGTCCCAGGAGAGGAGACATGTCCCAGGAGAGGAGACATGTCCCAGGAGAGGAGACATGTCCCAGGAGAGGAGACATGTCCCAGGAGAGGAGAGGAGACATGTCCCAGGAGAGGAGACATGTCCCAGGAGAGGAGACATGTCCCAGGAGAGGAGACATGTCCCAGGAGAGGAGACATGTCCCAGGAGAGGAGAGGAGACATGTCCCAGGAGAGGAGAGGAGACATGTCCCAGGAGAGGAGAGGAGACATGTCCCAGGAGAGGAGAGGAGACATGTCCCAGGAGAGGAGAGGAGACATGTCCCAGGAGAGGAGAGGAGACATGTCCCAGGAGAGGAGAGGAGACATGTCCCAGGAGAGGAGACATGTCCCAGGAGAGGAGAGGAGACATGTCCCAGGAGAGGAGACATGTCCCAGGAGAGGAGAGGAGACATGTCCCAGGAGAGGAGCTAAATACTGTAATAGAATACGTATCTTTAATAAAGCTCTCACCTGTTTGAACAGAGCGTAGATTTTCAGCTTGGCTTCGTTTCCCGGGTCGTTTTTCAGCGTTGACATCTTGTTCTTCGCCTGCTCAAACTGCTCCACCGTCGCACCTGCACACACACACACACACACATGTGTTAATTATGAGCACTAGACTATCAGTAACACTGAATACAATGATGCATATATGGTGAACGTCACCCATCATAGGAGACCCTGCGGTGTGGAACCTCAGGCTGGGAACGGAGGAGAGTCTGCTCAAGCTGGAGACACAGAACAGCACTCAGAAATGATTCATTACACGCCATGTGTACAAGTCTGTGAGGATGCACTGATCTGTCTAGTGCTGGAGCTACCACTAGAGGGTGCTGTAGCATTGTCTAAGTTGTTGGACAGCACATATCTGGATATTACCAGCTAGATACACATCTTATTATTCCCATACCTCCACCTAAAGTATATGTGATCTCAAATGAGTTGTATGTCTCACTGTGTGGGGCTCACCAGACCTTATGTACATACAGATTCTTGTTGCAGTAATGGATGGTGTAGCAGCCAGTAATAGTAGATTAAACAAGTGTTAAAACTCACAAGGAGAGCCAAGGTGAGAGAAGGTAACAGTTTAAGTCATAAAGGATCATGTTGTTTTAGCTTGTACAGCTTTGACAGCTAAAGTCAAGCAGCTAGTTAGCTGTGCTAGCTGTGAACTTTGCTCCAGATTTACCTCCTTCAGTCACACCACTCATTCTGTTGCTACACTGTCAGCTTAGCCATATGACAGGTGCTAACAGGTCAAATAACAAAAATATCGTAATTTAAAAACACATTTATGATGCCTTTCTCTCATTGCTAACTAAGCTAAGCTAACTAACTAATAGCTTCACTCTTCCTAAAGTTTCATACATTACTTTGACCTCTAGATGTTAGCATTAATGCTTCAAACTCTCAGAAAACAACATCGTCATTTAGCTAATAGTAATCCTCACCTTCTTAGCTTCAGAAAGCGCAGAGGAGCGGACAGCTTCAGGGCGACGCCGGCCATTTAAAACCGGAAAAAGGGGTCCAAAGTTCGGACCTGAGGAGGAAGGGAAGAGTTAACTAGCTTATTAGCGTAGCCACCATGAAGCTAACAGGGCAGCTAGTGTTTACACCGCTGGCCCCGCCCACTTTCTCCTCTTCTGCTCCACTATTGGCTCAAGTAAAGCGCCTGCAGACCTAACGTGTCCAATGAACCAATTGGAGCAGACGCTTTACGAGCAAGTCCCGCCTCTGTGGCTGTGCCTGGCCAATCAGCGTTGAGGACTCACTGCTTGAAAGCCAGCTGGATATTTTGGTGCCTTTTATTGTTCAAATCAAATCAAATCAAGTTTTATTTATATAGCACATTTATAAACGATTTTTGGTCGAGCCAAAGTGCTGTACATATAATAAAAATACCCTACAGTAAAGACACTTTACAGCAAATACAACAGCACAGTTTGTTCATTTTGTTCATTTTGACTTTTTTACCTGCAAAATAACGACTGCTATAATGATAGGGTAATATTTGAATTCATTTAGACGTAAACAATCCACCTAAAGTACAAAACTGGTGAAAATCGAGCTGTTTGAACCCCTATATATCATTTGATTGGCTCCATAAATACCTTTTCCCATTGACTTACATTGGGAGCGAACTGTTTTTGGTAGAAACAGCTCAATTAAAGCCCTTTAAATAAAGTAAAACGCTTAGTAAAAAGCATTACAATTGTTTATTTAACTCAAACTTAACATAGCAAGCTGTCTTGGTGTATTTAACTGATTAATAAGTTGTTTTTTTACCAAATTAAAATGACTAATGAGCTTTTTCTAGCTTATATTAGCACATTAGAGCTAAATATTAAACATATTGTGATTATTTTCAGGTAATTATTCTCCTGGTTTGATGTTTTAAACAGTTGTAAACACATTTTTTTAAGATACATATTCACAACCCGGCCTTGTTTGTAACCTAATATAGTTTAAAACAGCTCAAAATACCCCTTTTTTCCTATGATTTTACATTAATTACCACATAAGTGAATATATTCAATGTGTGAAGTGAGGCAGCTTGGTCTATGTTAACTCTAATGGTGTATTCAGTTGTAAAAACCACATTTAATAATCAAATTTAACCAATAAATACCAGGTTTTCTTGTATAATATGAATTATGAAGATCAATGAAGAGATTTCAGCCTCAAACAATTCAACAGAAACAACAATTTTTTATGTTTTACCAACAAAGCGGTGGTCTAAGTCGTACCCTGTAAAACAACAACGATATTTTACATCAAAATTCACATTTAACAACAAAATGCTACACAAAACAAGATTTACAGACATCCATCGTGAGTCCTCAGTGTCTCAATGAAGCTGAGAGCAGAGGCGGTTAATCATTCATATTTAAGGCTCATATTATCAACATTAACTCACTTTTTAAATCATTTTTACCCTAAAATAAGATCTTAAATCAGGTCTCATGATCATTTTGACTTGAATTTAGACGAGTAGTTTTATGCCCAAATGTGCTGAACGACCCAATAATATCTCTGTTTTAAATGTAATTATATGTTGTTGTCACAGTAGTCAGGGTTTAGGGCAAACAGTGCAATAGTGATGTGTTTCTACGGGTGCTAAAAAGCCCCAAAAATAATGCTTTTAACATCAAAACACGTCCTGAGCTTCTTGCAGCGTTTTGTGTTTGCATGTTTTGGGTCGTTGTAGAGTGTTTGCACGTGTTGGCACCAGATGTTTCCATTTATTGTTTACGCACTTGACAAGAAGTCTAAAGTCATCTTTAACCACGTGCACATTAAAGATTGATGCCTGAACCTGAAGTATAATCATTAACCGCTCCTCAGCTTCTGAACATTTGCACCACCAGCAGTGACAAACAGTGACAAAGCAGTTTGAATTAGTGTGCAGAATATTAAGATTTTGGCTCATAATCATCAAGGAGATTATATACAACTAGTTAGTACACATGTAAAAGAAAACAAAGCTTAACTCAAGGTGTTTCAAGTCTTTACAGAAGGTGGGATTTAACAGGGAATCTCCTGTGGGAACATCTCAACGTTTGGACGCTAACGTTTATTATCACAGAGTGT